GATAAGAAAAACATCTACTATCTGATTTTTTCACCAAAATACCGTGCGGTTTTCTGAAATATCTTATCGGTCATGCGACGCACGTCCGCATCGCGCTTCATCGCGGTTTTCATCAATTTAAAGAGCTTAAGTTGCAAATAACTGAGATATTTCTTACGTCACGTGCCGCCGATAACTAGCGGTGTTTTCTTAGCGCGATTACGTCCGCTATCTCACTTTCCGTTGGTTTGCGGAATCAAAAGGAAAAGGATTGTCATCCTAAAACCCAACATCGTGCTGTTTGTCAGAGCTTTACATTTTCCTGATCGCTGATGCGAAAAAATTCCGTTGCCGAATTACGAGCTTGAAAACATGCGAAAGAAATAAAACGTTGAAATCAGTTGATAATTTTTTATATCGCAACGAAACAATACGTCCTTCTGTAAATATTTTTAGCATCATTAACTGAGAAAATAATTGATATCAAGAAACATCGTGTCGCAGTATCTAGACACGCTGATATTTACGATTGAAGGAAAAAATCTGACGGGCAAAGGGTGAAATTTAGATGAGTCCGGGTGGAAGAACGTCGGACGATTATTGCGTAATAATCACGTGGGTTTAGATCGCGCGACACGAGCCGGCCGGATGCGCCGCCTCGCGAATTCAAGGTGTCGAATCGATTTGCCGCGTCGGCGGAAATTCTCGCCGCGTCTGGATTCTCCGCGTAAGCGAATCGATCTGAACAAGGGCGACACGCGATCCGTCCGTCCGCGCAGCGGTTTCACGGATTCGCTTTTTGTTCCGCACGTGCCCCGCCGCGGCGCTTATCGGCGAAAAATCTTCCGACCGCCGGGTAGATCGTTATCGGGGCCGGAGATAAGAGCAACTAGACAGCGAGAGAGACAGCGACGGAGAAGCATAACGGAGCTTCTACGTCGGGCAGAAGAGAACGGATCGAGATAAAGTAATCAGCCGTATATTACGTCCAGCCGTATCGCACGCGGTAGCGCGAGAAAAACAATATCGCGCTTATCATACACTCTCTCTCTGACGCATCCTTTTTTTTATAAATATGTCACGGATTTTGATAAGGCCGAGAGCAGGAGGAGGCGTGCGATCGCACACGTTCAACCCAACACTTCCGAATACCGCGGCGAAGCAGTGGTATTTAACTCTAAACTTGGCAATGCGTATTCTGCAAGAGAGATCTTATCTCCGCAGACACGTAATGTCTTATTCGCACCTCAGATACGTTATTTAAGAGTTATGAAAATAACGCGTCGTTTTCTCTCACGTAATTGCTCGAAGTTGTGAAATTTACGTGCGTTCCTAGCGAGCCGTTTTGCTACGGCGGGCGCGAATACATCGGCTGGAGCGCGCGGAGTTACGGTCGAATGGCGGATTCGATGCGGTGAAATTTTAATACCGTCCCGAAAGAGTGAAATCCGGCACGTTCGATTCATGTCCGTTCTCGTCGCGCAATAAAATTAGGAGCCAGACGGCTTCTTCGATTTACAACTGCGCTTGTCGAACGTCGGCGTCACGCAGCAGGCACGCAGTGACTCTCATTCCTGTCTGATGTCCGTCTCGACCGGCCGGAAGTTAATTTGCAAATGCGGCGGCATAATTGCCCTATCGAACGACCTGAAAGTAAATTTCTGATCGACAACAAATGATATGGAAAAAATTCATTGTCGCGACGCAAATGAAGCTTCCGAAGGTTTTTGCGCAAAAATCAACTTTCGTTATGTAAAGCGAAGAGAATTCATTTTTTTTTACTTTAGATAAATGAGAGTAATGAGATACAATGTGAAATTAAAATAACGCTCAAGTCATCTAACGTAAGACCGTGTATAGATCTTCAACCACTTCTACAGAGATACTTTTATTGTTTTGTAGTTAAGTTTGATCTTTGGGCGTTTTAAAAAATGTTTGGTTGCTCCTATTTAAATTAGATAACAGTTTCTATCTAAGTTGAAACGAAAGATATGACGACATTTTTATTGTAATCTTTGTGGATGATGTTAAGGAGAAATATTACAGATATCTGTAGTCGTTCGCGAGGAATTTTTTCAAATCCGGGTGCAGGGGCACTTGTCCGGTTTATATACATTCGAAGCGTTGATAACGCTCGTATAGAATCACGACGGTTTTATTACGTCGTATGCTGATCCGCGAACGAGCGGTCAATCGGTGAACTGTCTCCATTATCTTCGGTCACCGTGGTGTTTATTCTCGGTTCCGACTTGATAAATAATGTTCGGCGCATTCGCCCTGCGCTGTAACAATAATACAGCAGCACGTGGCCGAGTTATCCAGAGGTCAGGCCAAATTTACCAATTGCCCCGGTATCCGTTCGATTACTCGCCGGCGGCGCGTGTTTTGCGGCTTGTGCTCGAGAGCCCTGAATTCGGTAAAGCCTTCACAGCGTGTTATCGAGTCTTCGATAGATAAAAGCCGATTACGAGTCGCGATAACGAGGACCGCCCGCATATTCACAAGGAATATGCGACAGCGCGTCGATAAGTATCGTGACGGATCTCATTTATTTGTTACACGCTGTTAATGGAGATTACTCACTTTTTTTTTAGCAGGAGTTTATTATACCTTATCTATTGCATCACACCTACCTGTTATTCCACCAGTCATAGACATCATTTTCTACGATTGCTGGCGTGATTAAAGTTACTTTTCAAGACCGCGTGATACATATATATGCATATTATTGTAAAATATATATATATAATTTTTATTTAAAAAATTAAGATGTATATTCTCACTTGATGCAATATAGATGCTCGACGGTAATTCTCCATTATACTTTCTGTTTTTAAATGAAAAAAGAAACGAGGCAAGGAAAATATTTGTTTTCCCGGATTCGAACGGAATGACAAATGAGTTGCGTTTGATAAACCGGCATGTCTAATTATACCTTCTTCTCGTCTTTGTCATGGTCGAGGCGAAGCACGTCCCTCGCTCTCTTTCTCTTCCAGAAGAGTTCACGTTACGATCTCGTGCTGTACACTATGATGTCAGACTGATGTCATTCTGGCGAGAGCGGCGCAGCATCGCGCGTGCGAGAGATTGCACACATTGCAGCCGCGCGATAACGATGTTCACCAAATTGCAAGTGACGTCACGGTCTGTCACGCTCGTTTTCTCCCATTTTTCGACCGCGTACACGCGAGACACCGATACACCGGCGTTGCCAATCAACGTAATCAAGGATTGCCACAATCCTCTCGTTAACGAACAGATTCCCGGCTTGTCATTAATGAACGTGCATGTAACAATTCGAGATATGATGTAACGCGTCCACGGGCGTGTTATCGGTATGTTATGTAAATATGGAGATATAAACAAATCTCGCATCGTCCGACCTGCTCTGAAAGAGTTTATTTCCACGCCCGTTAGATTATTCGCGTTTTTAATATAGCAACGATTATGAAATCCGCATTCTCGCCGCAGGTTATATAAATTGTTATCAGACCGCGTAAAGCCAGATGAGATATCCTGCGTGTTGACGACGGAGACGTGTAGAAGGAAAAAGCAACAATTTAAGGAATATCTCATTTCAATGCAAATCGATTCACGTATGTAAAGTCTTCGATTAAGTTTTATATTAGATAAAATTACATTGGTCATTTAACTTTAATGTCGTGATGTATACGGATTAATTAATTATTAATTCCGTAATTATTCTCAATTATGAAATACGGTACAGTTTAAAATAGCGTCGTTCAATTTTCTATATACCTAAAATATCCGCGTGTATACAATTTTCGAAATCGAATTATTCGAACTAAAGGAATGACCTAACGCACTTGTATGTCGTTTCGTCTTAATAGCATTGGCGATAATGCATTCGCGCTCGTACACCTACATCTCTATCAACCGTTATCGCCTGTCGTGTTATCGCTAAGAAAAACCGATAAAGTAACGCGCCATTCGTGCGCCGCCAACTCAGCGGCTGCTACGATAATAATGATCATTGTTTATACTACAAAGATTAGAGGGAAGAAGAGACAGAAAGTCGTTTGTGAGAAGTGCGAGGTTTTCGTTGAATTTTGGTGTAATAAAACGCCAAGCTCGCAAATAGAAGAAAATTATCTTTTACGCCTTAAAAATTCGAAAAATTAAATATATCATTGTATAGTTGGAAGAAATAAAAAAAAATAGAACGAATAGATTACAGTTAATGAAATAATACATAAATTTCTATACAAAGATATTTCGATATAGAAGCGATAATACTTTGATTAGATCTGATCGAATTAAGCAATGTCGCTCAATGAAAGTATGCAAATATTTAAAGCATAAAAATGCACGCTCTATTTTGAAATTCATTTATTTGTAATTCGACATCCGTTTATTGATCGCGCAGCAGCAGCAGTATTCTGCATGGCGTTAGCGATATTTGCCGATTGCTTGTATATTATTAAAAAACTCTGCTCGCCGTACAACTACAATGCGATTCGATATTGTATTCCATAGTACAACCAGAAGACACGCAACGTCATGTCAAGTTGTTGTTATTGTTCTTCCGTGCGACGTTTTTTCAATAATCAAGATATTGACAAATATCTTTCGCCGCGCAGAACGCCGCTCGCACACAGTTCTCGGCTGATCCGGCTGGCGTTTTCACGAGTGTAAAACCAGCCGCCATCCCGAAGAGTGGGCGCCGGGCTTGATGTGAGTGCGAGCGCGCGCGGGCGAGCCACACAGAGATGCAGGCTCCGTTCCTCCGCTCCTCACTCCGCGTCGATCGCGTTTCGCACTCCGGATCCCGGTCGCTGCCTACGTGTCCCCCTAGGGCATTCCGCAGCACGCAGGCGCGGCGTCGCGATTATGACGTCATGCACCATGACGCCACAACGCCCGATTGGCGGAACGCGTCGTCGTCGCCGTCGTCGTCGCGTCGTAGCTGTTCTCGAGGGGGGGGGCGCGAGGGGCTACGGGGGGAGAAAAATAGCTTGGCAAGGGCTCAGTGCGGACGGAGAGGAGACGAGCGCCCGCGCGAGGAGAAGAGAGACCGCGAGCGAGCAGGGATTCGACTGCGGAGTAGGGATCGAGCAAGCGCAGCCGAACGTAGCCGAACAAACGGGAAACACCGTGCGAGCGAGAGAGAGGGCGAACGCGAGTCCGACAGAAACGGCGCTTGATCGCGCGGGGAGGGAAACGTACGACGGTCGTGTAGCTCGGCTTTACCGCCGCATTCTCGAGCGTTCGTCTCTTCGTGCGGCAGCCAGACGGACGAGCGCACACGTCCTGTCGCGGGATTGTTACGGCGCGCATATCAGTGTGTAAATTTCGGTCTTGTGTTTGGTCTGTCGAAGAGAGAGAGAGAGAGAATACGTAGCCGGAGCGACGACGATTGTCGTGCTCGGGTGTGCGGTTCGCCTTCGCGCTTGTGCGGTGCTTGTTTGCCGCTCGCTTCCTTTCCGGGTGCGTGCGAGACAGTGCGAGATACAGGTACAGATATAGGCCATCATCTTTCCGATTGTTCCGAAACCCAACGTGTCACGGAGAAACGACGCCGATTCCCGCCATTTGTGTAGCCTTCCCTCCGATCGGCCGGGAGCGAATCGAAGCGTCGACGTCGTCGGGGCGTCGTCGGGGCGTCGCTTCTCGCGCTTACGTTCTTTCTCGCGGCTCATGTGCCCGCGAGCCGCCGAGGTGACGGTGTGTTCGCGAGACGGGAGGCAGTTGACGTTATCGCCGTTGTTATTTCGAGCAGCCGTCATTTCTCGGACGAGCAGTGCGGCAGAGGCTCGTGCGTGCGGTCGGCATCGATCTTCGCCTCGCGAAGCGGAGTGATCCGAGGAGAAGAAGAGAAAAAAAAACAGTGTGCGTATTGTGCGCGGCGAAAATATACAGCGCGGGAAATCGTGCGTAGCGTGAGAGAAGGAGAGAAAGAAAGAGAGAGAGAGAAAGAGGAAGAGAGAGGGAGAGAAAAATAGAGCAAGGTGCACGGACGACCGCAGTGCGTCTGAGAAGAAAGATATCAGACACAGCTCTGTTGCGGCTAACGAGCGATAAGAGATATCGCAACGTGCGCGAAACAAACAGTGGATGGTGAAGTGATAAGCGGCCGAGCTACGAGCAGTGGACGACGATCCCCGATTAGGGCGTCGCATCGGAAGATACAGCTTCTTCCACGTTTCGTCACCAGCACGACGCTTCTACACGGCGGCAAAATGATGGTCAACAAGCGGACGCAGTGCTATCTGTGCGACCTGCCCAGGATGCCGTGGGCGATGATTATGGACTTTTCGGAGCCGGTGTGTCGCGGCTGCGTGAACTACGAGGGCGCCGACCGCATCGACATCGTGCTCGAGTCAGCCAAGCAGATGAAGAAGGCACATGGCTTCCAAGACGCGCGGCCCTCCGCCACCAAGACGTATCGTACCGCTGGCGGTGGTGGCGGCCACACCGAGCACAACGGCGGCGCGAATCTCGATGTGCTGCCAATTCAGAACACCGGCCAGAGCCACTCGTCGCGCCATCACAACATCGCCGGCTACTCGCAGCTGCACCACCGTAACTCCATCACGGAATTCAATTCCGGCACGGCGGCCGCAGCCGCCGCAGCCGCCAGGCAGCAGATCGGCCGGCAGCACGGCGGCGGCGGCGGCGAGGACGGCCACGAGATGGCGAACGGTATGAGGGGCAACAACGTGCGTCTGCCCAACGCCCACCTGGCCGCGGTGGCGGCGCATCACGTGAACCTCAGTCACAATCGCGGCATCACGCAGCTTAAGCGCGGTATCTCGGCCATCGACGAGGACGAGCACGCCGAAAAGAGGCTCTCCTTGGAAGAACAGCATCCAGTCAGGCCGCCGTTGACACGCGGTGATTCACTTCCGGCAGTCAGTCTTGCCGTCAGCTACGTGCAGGACAGGAACAAGGAGAAGCATCCGGTGAGAGCGCCCAGCTTCGAGACAGCGACCACCTTCAAGGCCAACGGTAAGTTTCTTCTTCTTCTTCTGTCGCGCGCGACAATTGACGATGAGGAATCGTGTCGGACACGAGTCGCGATTGCCACGAGGATTTTTCCTTATTTCGTGACACACTGGGAATTTGACGAGGCGGAAATCAAGTTTATCGAGTCAGCTCGATGTTGATTATGATGATGTGATTATGACAAACGTCGAGTGGAACGGAACGTGATTTCTTTGCGGTATTACGGTTCATCATATTTGTTTATAGAATGTTGGCGAAAACGAATTCCACGAAATTTATTACGAACGCGTAAATTCCACACATTTTATTCTTTAAGCAAAAATTCGCGACAATTTCCAAACTGTTGGTAATCGAAAAGCAGTTTTACATTTTTTAAGGTTATAAACAATTATAATTTGTGAATTAATTGCACGAGTAAACTTTAATAGAATTTCAATTTAAATATTGAAAATTAGAAAATTGCAACGAATAAAATTTCCCTCGATATTTTTATCGAGGAAAGGTCGATTCAAAATTAATCAGAGAATTTGTTATTAAAATTAAAATTGGGAGTATAATAGATGCATCACTTGTGATTTGATGCAGATGTTTATGAAAGAAGATAATCTATCTACTATTTTTACTTATATCTATGTTTTTAAAGACATAGTTTATTTAAATCTTCGCAAAAATCGATTCTTGATACCATAATTAGAGCCAGCGAATACGGTAGAAGACTCATTCGCAGTCTTCATTCATAAGACATGTAGAGTCATTAATCACTCTCCACGTTCAACAGTTAAGGGTCACGTTCCAACATTTAAAGGTCTTTTCAAAATCGAATCTTCGACTAATCCATGTCCCCCAACGAGAAAAACTAACCCAAATATTTCCAGAACTCTAGAATCAATTAGCGTCGTTGTGTTTGCAGTCAAGAAAATGTAGTCGCTTGTTGCATAGATTACTTTGACTGAACGAGCTGAGTTTAATGCAATTAGCAAAGAATGCTCGACAGAAATCAAATCAAACGAGTCCTGTTGAGTGTTCTATTATTACGTCATCAAAATATGACTGTAGCTTATAGTTATGTAGTCCCCGGCAAGGCCGTAAATCGTGTCACGCTTTCCTCTAAAGACACAGCGTTGACGTCAAAACAAAAACATGCAATATTCCATCATCTTCTTTTATATTGACGCTTGAATGCTTTCGTCTTACTTTTATAGAAGTAGATCCGTAATGTTGGCTGTGAAATAACGTCAGCTCGCACGTACACGACGAAACCTAGTCCCGGCGTAATTTTTTAGCGGCCGGCGTTCTGCTAGCGTTTTTATCTGGCCGCTACTATAAATAGTCGAAGAGAGGGCCGTGCGCGCCGCGCGTACGGCCATCATTCGTGGCCATCTGGCGCGGGAAGGCAATGCACGCACACGCATATACATCGGTATACGTATAACGTGCTAAAAGGAAGCGAACGTCCTCCCTCATGTCCTCGCTCTGCCCTCTCCTGTCCCGCCCGCTCCTCTCCCGATTCTCTCTTCTGTCTATCTCTCGCCTTCGATCGGCGTCCGAACGCGTACAAAAGAGACGTACGTCGAGCACGTGATGGGACGACCAAAAGATACATACACATGCACACACACACACACGCACACAACAACAACAGTCAGTTGCCATGTCGTGACGTGTCCAATCAGGTGACGTCACATGCCGCCACCGCCGCTGCCGTATTTATACCCGATGAATGAGAGACCCGTTGTACGCCGTGTACGCTCAATAACGAGAACGAATCCCCGCCCTCTCCCCTTCCTCTCTCCACCCCGTTGTGTTCGCTTGGCGAGGAGCTCGCGTTTGTTCCGCGCGAGCGTAAATCGCAAACGTGGAGGAAAAAATCGCGGAATGGAACGCATTACACGCGCGGATAACAACGTTGCTACGCGAGATAAGAGGATCACGAGGCGCGTAGTTCTCGTAACTCGGCGAGTCACAATAAGTCGACGATCGACCGCGTTCGGTGACTTTGCGGGCGGTTCTGCACGTCATGGCGCGATATAAAATCGCATTAGTACGCTTCCACCTCGTTTACTTTTTAAATGAATTATGGAACCGCGCGTACGTTGAACCGACAATGAGAAATCAAGCGGAGCCATCACGCGCGAATGACATCGGACATTATCTCCGCCTTGACGCCCTGTTGTTCTCGTGAAAATAAAATGCGAATGCTTATCAGATTGATAAGAGTTTTTCTCTCACACAGACAAAGAGATGAATGAACGCTTCGATTACTTTGATATTATTACTCAAAATTCAGGGTTCGATATGATAAACTTCAATGTTTCAATATCAATATGTTTTAGTGATATTATCAATCTACTTCGAAAATAATATAATAAATGTATAGCGTATAAATGATAAATTAAGAATATATGCGGCGTATCTTAAAAATTTATAGGCGGTCTTCTGAATTTGGAGTCGATTTTTTTCTAAGCGAAAATAACAAAGTATGAATAGTTTGAGATATAAGCAATTGAAAGCTCAAGAATAAGTTAAGAAGAAGAAGCGAACAACGAAGTCATATATTTAGTTAATTTCAGGAATTTTAATTAAAAATTTATGCTATAAAAAATATAAAGTTAAATCCGAAAAACCATTGATCAGATTTATGAAAGTCTGCAAAAATCATTAAAGGAACATAATTCTTGTACACTCTGCGCTCTTTGCGAATTGACACGAACGTTCAATAATCTCATTAAAATTAGTCTTCTTTTCGAGAAAGAATTTTATTCCCAAAGAATCAAACCATGCCGACTGTTTTATTGTCACAGCATCTGAATGATTTCCGAGACGGAAATCCAAGCGATGTCTATATTTCGCAACACGCGAGCAGTTCTTTTTATGCGCGCATCATTCGATTGTATTCAGCTGTATAATCGAGTGAGTGCATTCGCACCGCATCTCTCCTCCCTCCCCCCCTTTTTGACGCAACCTCCCCTCAGACCGTTCTTTTCTCGTGCGACGCATCGTTCCGTGACGCGTGATTCTCGCGTTGCGTTGTGTCGCGTCGCGTCGCGTCGCGTTTTTCGATCGCGCCTCCTGTCTGCGCCCCCCCCCCCCTTTCCCTTCTCTCTTCTCTCTCTCTCTCGTCATTCTTCTCTTCGCCGTTGCATCGCATTGCATCGCGTTGCATCGCGCGACGAAACCGGTCCGCGGAGTCTGTCTCTCCTCCGCCGCCGCCGCCGCTGTTGCGCCGTTGTGACATTTCGCTGAGATAACTGTAGCTCGCCCCCCTTTTCTTGCTCGCTTGTGGCCTGCGCGTTGTCGTTGCTTTTCGCGCTGGTAGATACGCCGGCCCATTGACGACGTGCGGCGACGATGACGACGACGTCGAGTCGCGTAACCTAGCCTAACCCCGCGTCGCGAGCGGCACGGTGACCTTGCTCATCGACCGTTATTTCGACACTGCGCGGAACCGCTCTCTCTCTCTTTCTCTCTCTAATTCGACCTTAAACGCGACGCGTGTTTACGATATGCATGTTCCACGGAATTAATTCGTAAAGCTTTATCGGGCGTAAACAAAAAAAGAAAACAGGAAAACGCTGACGTCCTTTCCTATTTACAATTAATTTGAGTTCGGTAGGTGGGCTTTCAAACTTCAGAGGCGGATGTGCGTGTTTGCTTTTCTCACGAGCCTATACAAATTCCCATCTAAAGATGCTACATTAACGCTTTTGAAAATTTTGCCGGCCATATAACTCGCATCCGGTTCATAAAGATATTCCATTATCTTACAGTTGAAAAAAAGATTGACATAATTTTCTTTTTTATAAAGATGCTGCGTTAACGCTACAACTACCATCCACATAGCTTACATCCGGCTTATAAAAATGATTCCATTACGTTTCATATTTCACAATTGCAAAAAAAAAAACAATTTTAGAATAAATTGATATAATGAGCGAAAAGAAAGATGTTCGCCAGCGTAAAAATATGCCGGCAACGAGCCTGTTAACAATATCTTGATCGTAAACTTTGATCTATAAATTTTCTCAGACATATTTCAATGTAAATATCTTATATTCCGAAATAAAAGATTGCGCCATTAAAACGAGGTCTTTGTTCGGAACGATGTTTCTCGACTGCCCGTGAATAATAAATCTTCGAGTGCAATAACCTGAATGGAGTTTTGAAATCCGTTGTTTTCGAGACACCCGGTGCAGTGACGTAGAAGGCCAAACAGCTGAGTATATAGTGCATTATCGCGCCGTGCGGTATCGGCCGCGTTATCATACTTGATAACGACCGAATGATCAACAATCGAGAACCTTCGCGTTATCGTTGTTATTCAATGCATACGACGACGTGCACGCTTTAATAAAATATTTTGAATTGCTTAACCCACAGATTATAATCGCGCTGATTACAATGGCGTAATCGCAAAAATATTTCTCAAAAATTAATTTCTTCGAAATAACGATATTTTATTACGAGGAAGAGTATTGTTTGAGAGAGTATTTTTATGAAAATATTTATATAAAAATATTTAGAAATATTTCGTGAAAAACATATTTTTCGAGCTGATTCTGCGATTATTGTGATAAATGTGATAATAATTTCCATGTTTTTATGGTAATATAATTTTTTTAAAAATGACGTCTATTAAAGCTTTAATTTTATATATTTTTATAATTTTTCGCAAGAGCTTTATTATCTTTTCTTCTGTAAATATTAGCAGTTATGTGACGAGACGTGGTTACATCGGCGTGTTGTCGATGCGAAAATATTGTAACATAGTAACGGAAGAAAAAGTCCATCACGCAAGTACGATTTGCTTATTTTTTCTGTCGAGTTTTTTTTATTCTTGAGGTTACTGTTTCCGTTCAAACGACTGTATTCACGTTTACGTACGCGAGCCCCGAATAAAAATAGATTACCGCTGGCAAAGATTGGGGTCTGGAAATAAACGCGAATCGTACGAGAGTCTTTGAAGATCCGGAGAAATTCCGCCTGCTGTTTAATTCGACCGTCGA